GATGGGAAAAAAGTGTTCAAAGGAAATCTTGAGCAATTGACTGAGGGAACTGTCTCTCATGAAAAGTGGTTACACGCAAGGGCTGGATGGTCGCTAGAAGGTCCCTGCAAAGAAGAGTTCTGTTGACCTAAACTCAGAACACAGGAAAAGCTTTTCTATGAAAAGAACCAACATACTACATACAGTGGTGTCTGGTACAGAGATTTGAGGACACAGACATTCCCTCTGTTTCAAATACCCTGAGGTGAGGAAGAAAAAAAGGTAAGGAAATGGAGTGATGAATTCAGGGAAAGATGCACCCTGACCTTTCATGGACAGTCTATAATTAAAGTTCCAGTTTCATAGCAAATTGTTTACATTGTAAACAGTTTAAAACATTTGAGCCTCAATACGTTAAACACTGCCCACATGCATTTATTTAACATGACATTTGCACAGCTTTTGGGTACATAGATGTACACCATGTACCTATGTCAGGCACTGCTTTGAATGCTACACAAGAAGATCACTCATACATAGGACAATCTGTATTTGTACGTTTAGCTTTTGATTACCAAGTGATCTTTCAACAGATAGGAACTCTCAACTGGAAGACTTTCCACAAATGCTTATGACCAAATTCTGGAGAACCTCTGTAGAATGTAAACTTAGTTGAGCCTGCTTTAAGCAAGTCGTTTAAGAGAAGATGTCTTACTGTCTTTAAATTACTTCAATCATATTAAAAATCACATTTGCTTAAAAATACAATACATACATTTTAGAGGAATACTTACCTTCTGACTGTCATGTTCGAAAGTTGAAAACCAATGTTCTGCAGTTTTCATAAGACGTGTGAACATTGCACTAAAGGGGGAAAATCCAGAAACTTGGTGTTAAATAATGTATTACAAATAAGAACAAATTAAATGTAGAGGAAGTTGTTAAAACTTACTAGGCATCATGTTCCAGATATTCAGGATTCAAAAGAACTTTCATTTCCTCACTGAAAAAGGCAACAGTGAACAATCCAAATGTGAATGTTTATTTTTGGTCAGCGCTCTGCATGTACTATTATGTATTTATAAGCCAACTTTCATATAAAGTGCAAATGAGAAAACTAGCCTTTTTAATTAAAAAGAGCAACTCCATTGAACAAATGAAGTCTTTCCTTTTTATAAAGATCAAAACCAAATTAGCTGCCTTGTCTGCACTACAATGAAGTAACCATCTAATTATTCCAAATAACAAATTACTGAATGTCACAATGTATTATTTGAATATGCTTGATCTAGAATAATTGATTGCTGCACAATCTATCACTGTTTGTCCCAAACAAAAAAAAATGGTTACTGGTCAAATATGCAGTATCAAAACATTAATTTATTTTGTTTTAATAGCTCATATTTTTATTGTACTTTAACAGCAATTAATCAGTGACAGCACCTCTTTTCCATCTACTTTACTGCTTAGCTCTACTTTTTCGGTGGGGATGGAACAGAATGCTGTGCATAACACATGGTTATTTTAAGTTACTTAGCACTGAAGACCATCTTCTAGGTAATTTCAGGATATCTAAAGACAGACACTGAATAAAAACACACACTTGTAAATAATCTCCATCCTTATGACAATACTGTCTTTGGACAATCACACTGAGAGGTGCTAAAAGAGGTTAAATTATACAGTACATGTAATTAAATTGGCTTTTATTCACTGCTGGACTCCAAAAGGGAATGCTAAAAGACAAGTGAAAATAAATGACCTAAATATCACAAGTGATACAAAAAGGCAATTAGTTGTTTTTTGTTTGGTTGGTTTTTTTTTAAACCAAGCTTTACATGTAGGGCAAAAAGAAAAAAGCATCTGCATTTGGTTGACAATCATGTGTGATGTAGTATTTTATACATACTTGTATGATTACATGCACACACACACAGTTTGAGTCAAATGGAGAGTCAAAACCTAAACTGAATGTTACTACCAAGTCAAAGGATAGTCAGTGCAGCTACAACATTGCAGGTGATGAAAGAAATATCAGTCACAACAATTTGTCTGCACTGATTTTTTCTCTTTTAAGATATGAAGAAAGAGAGTTGGTAACATGTCTGCTCTATGACTGCAGTTCTCTGTCTCCTCTCTGCAATGACAAAAATGAAACCATCGCTGGGAATAAGAATGAGGTAAAACCATAGGTATCTAAGCTTTTTTATTATGGTTTTCCTTTAGGTCTCTTGCCTTCCCTTTTTTCGGTAGCTAATAGCTGTGTAGGGGTCAATGTCTACAATTTTAATTCCCCTTTCAGAAGCTGTGGTAGGGAAGATGAAATAAGGACATTCTCATAACAGCATGAGGATGCCATGATTTCTGATATCAATTTGTCAGTTATAAACAAAGAATTAAGGAGCACATACTTATAAATTCTAGCCCAGCTAACTTCATTTTTTTTTTTAAGAAAGAGGGTTTTTAAAACTATACAAATAAAACACAACGCTTGCCTGGGTTGTGCAGCTTCACTGGCATGCGAAAAAGCTTGGTGGTCACAATGCAGGATAAAGACAATGGGAGCTAGAAGTTCATGCATTCCCTAAACATAAAAGGAGGCAAAAGTAGAGTGAGATTTTCCAGTCACATAATAGTTCATAATACACAGCATCAGGCAGCCTGCAAGAATAAGTGCAGACTAACTAAAAGCAGAAACATTTACATTCTTAACAGAACAGTTTCATAATCAATGGCTTTTATCTTAAATTCTGATTAAATCCAAGTGTTTATTCTTCTGTAATATACGGAAGCAAGTTATTCTCCCTTTTTCTAACACAACAGACAACAAATTGGCAACGGCAGTCAACCCTGCACCTGGCAGTTTACTCCAAGATGTATGTTCATAAATATGAATTTTATTTATGATAATTACAATCATGATCTACAGTACAAAGATCTGCAATAGGGACAAATTACAAAATTTAAAATTATTTTTTATTTGATAATGTTCCGAAAGCAGCTTAGCAGTAGACTTTAGAGGAGACAAGGGCCGCTATTTGGAAAATTGCAAAATGAAACTTACATTCCTATGGACATGAGAAATAAAATGGGGTTTTGGCCTTTTTTTCTTATAAGTCATTATGCAATACTAAAAATAAACTTGTTATAGCACAATGCATAGGAGACCTGGTACTGTTCCATTACAAAATATTACTTATATGTGCAATCTATAATAAGATACAGAAAAAATACAGAAACATGCAGGATCAGAAGAGAAAAAATTGGTGGGCAGTTGAGGACTTGGGCCAGCATTAGGGGAACCAGAGCAGCCATTGATGCTTAGAGCTCACCAGGCCCAGGGACAAAACAGGAGTCTTGATTTGCCTCAATTCACCTGGGGCTTGTCAATTTGTTATCAGAAGCAACCACTTCAGGAAACAAGAAATCCAGTTGGCAAGCAGCAACGCACTGGCAAGTAAAACTACAGCCTGTGGAATGAACTCTCATCTTCCGCAGATATGCAGCTCCTTCCCTCAGATTAGACCAGGGAAAAGGAGGATTTGGGGTATCATAACTGGAGACTTTGGTTATGTCAGGGGAGTTGGGCTCCCAGTGGTGGACTAAGATGGCAAGCAGAAACTATGCAAGCTACATGTTGGGGTGGGGACCAGCCATACAAAAGATGTGAGGAGAGCTCTTCAGCGATGGAACAGATGTGGGATGAAGGGTTGAGACCTCTCTGGCTGCCTCTGGACACAGGGATCACTTCAAAGGGAGCGAACTCTTGACCTCAACCCAAAACCACCAACTACAACTGGGGCTTGGTGCCAGGTGCCCAGGCTACCCCTGCTGGGTCTCACTCTGGGTAGTGTCCTTGCTCTGGCTGCAGATGGAAGAGGTTTTTTTGTGCAATTACTTCACCAGGTGAAGCTTCAGTCCCAACTCCAGGAGCATGTTCTGGGCAGACTGGGGTGCCAGGACGACCAATTTGTCTATCCCATTGGCAGAAAGAGCCAACCGGGGCTGGCCCATCAAGCTCAAGGGCGTGTCAGGCTGCTGCCACGAGTCAGATGATGGGTCCCTAGGCAGGAGCTGCTCTACATTTGGGCTTGCAGTTCCAAGCTAGGAAGCCTCTCCACTGCCCTTTCAGTGATGGACAGACATGAGCAATGAAAGACTTACATGCCTGTGCTGCTACCCTGCTGCTTTGGTGTATATCAGCTGATATTCCATGTAGCATTTGAGGAGTATTCAGTATCAGTGAGTCAGCTTATCAGCTTCGTATGTATCAAACAGATCCATTAACTACTAAAACCCTTTAACTTCTATTGGAAATTATGGGGATTTTCCTTAAGTGGTCCAAAGTAAGCTGAGAGGCAGATGTGGAAGCCCTCTCTAGATCATTATCTATTCTGAGTGTCCTCAGATGCATGTTAGTGAATCTTATCTGCTTGTAAGAGGAAATTCCGATACCTAGCAGTGTTGAAGAAAAACACAGAGTTATGGAAATTTCTCTGTGTGCCATCAACTGACATTTTAGGAAATTTATTTTTAATTTTTTCAGGACTGAGATGACTGTTAGAGCCTCAACTGTAAGGTTGCAGCAATAGCAGTCAATTGATTGGGCAAAGATAAAGACAGAAATTACTGAACTTTGGAGTTCTTTTTTCTCTTCCTATTTCTGAACCTTTAGGGACTACTTCGAAAGATGAAGGCTAAAAAGAAACTCAGTTAGGGAAAAAAAAAGATTCAACCCACTGTGGTCACTTGACTTCAGGAACTGACATAAAATTCCCAAACACAGCAATACGGGTTAGATTACAAATTGATGACTTTAGATTTCTGAAAGTCTTACAGACATACCAAGAGGGAAAGTAATAGGAGAGACAGGGAGATAGGTCCAGCATCACACAATAAATATAAGTGGCAAAAATATTTAAATAAACTGTAGAGAACCTGGGTTCATACATATTCACAGTCCTCAGTTAATTAACAGCTGCATGTCTAATCTTTTATTCACCCTGATATACTAACAAGAAATAAGAGAAATGGAAATGCCAAAATCTTGACTATCTAATAAAACTACCACCTAAGCTGTAAACATATAAGCTGAAGAAAAAGAAAGAGGACATAAAATAAGAATTAGTTATAAAAGATAAAAGCACATCATGCATTCTTCCAACATAATAATATATCAAATTTATAATAAAGTAGAATCATAATGTGGCTGCCCACATACAACAAAAACATAACAAACAGATGATGAAATATCAGGATTTCAAAAAGATACCTCTGATCTTTCAGTTACAAGAGTACTTCAAATGTTTAGAGGTTTTTAGCTTGGCAAGAAAAGCCACCAATGTAATATGCATACACATATTTTTTCAATGCTGCAGTTTACTAAAACCCTTTAGTGTTAATAAATAAGTTGACAGAGCTCAGATAATTTTATGACACTTCCCAGCTACAACAAAATATTGATTTCATAATATAGTCTATGGTTTAGAAAGAAAACCAGAAATACAGCATTTCCACAATGAAAAGTGAATCAATGCATTTTAAAACTATATTGACTTCTCTAAGGGCAATCAAACCATGAGTGAACAATAGTTAGCCTAGTGATTTAGCTTAATTGCCTCTACTTCTTTTCAGTGTAACTAGGACCAGAATTTTGGCGTGATTCTTACAGAAGAATGCTAAAAGTAATTTTTACATATTCTTAAACACAAAGTACTATTCTCTTTAGATTTTATATTTACAACTGCTATTTAAAAATTCAACGATCCCAGTGAGGATTCCATCTTTAAAATCTGTAGTACAGCTTCACAACATTCTACTCCATTTGACTAGGGACAGGAATATCTTTTTCCTCATCAAAAAAAATGTTACTTCACATTGGTCAAAAATCCACAAACCCTACTACAAAGACAACTTTCATGCATATATGCATATTAAATAAACATTATTGATTGCTTGTTGTAAGATTACATGCTGATGCTATGTCATAGTTTCAGTAAAAAGTTGGAAACTTCAGATACACTTTATTTACATTTATAAGGATGCAAGTTGTAAAGTTGTAAAACATTTTCCAAATATTTTGAAAGATAATATTTTGAAAGAGAAACATAATTGACAGACAGAAATTTAAGTTTTCGTTTATTGGCCAAGTGTTGTAATTCTTACAGCAAAAGTAGCTCTTGTATGTGGTCATACAAATGAGACAGAGGAATTCTCATAGAGAACAATAGGACCATGATGGACACTGAGTATGAAGATAAACTTCTTATTGTATTCAGGTCACTGTGGAGAGAGCAGCTTGGATGTGATCTGTTATTGATGAATTAATGGTAACCTTCATTAATTTCAAGAAAATACACTAGGCTTTGATGGAGTGGAAATTATTATGGGAAGTGGGGATTGAGTCAATGGTAGAAACAGAACCAACAAAAATAGTAGGTTAGGAAGAACTGACTGCAACATAGGTATTTGCTAAAAGAGGGAAGAAATCGTATCCTGTCACCACCACAAACTCTACTTCATATTAGCTAGTTCAGAAAAGGATACTGATGGACATGAAATAAGTGTTATCTAAGAAGAGAGGGATACGGGGATAACAAAGCAGGATTGTTACTAATAAGCTAACAGGAACATTAATTAAAAAAAATAAAAAATCAAACTCACCCTTTTGAAATGAGGTAAGAAAAAAGAAAAGCTCCTAATAGAAGTGACATATGTCCACAGTCATTTGCTATTTTGTGGACTTGGCACAGCACCCCAAGACTTGGGTGATACACTGAACACACTTCAGAGAGATAAAATCAACAGGTTTCCATGATCCAAATTTATTTCATTTTCTGCACTTCACTTCTCTCCTTAGTCCTGTGGCAACCTCTTCCTGGAATTACTGCACTACTGATGCAACACCAGTTGAAAACTGAGGTAAAGTTTTCTTTGTCAACAGCCTGTAGGCTCGGCAAAATTGAACCTGTTCTTTTATCTGCCTATGTTCATTTAGCCCACCAAGCAGTCTTTATTAAAGCTGAGGCATCAGGCAGTCAAAGTTCATTAATACCATTTATATAATCTCTGCAGTTTCAATTAACTCAGCAAGACATTCTACTACATGATAACAGTCTCATTAATTCAATAAAATCCCATAACTATTAACAATATGGTCTATGTTAAACGGGGTGTCACCTAGTAGAAAATAATAGCTTTAACAGCTTGTGATGAAACTCAGGGCTTTTTTTTTTAAATTTGATCTGGCTAAATATTCCATCCTTATGTAGAAAGGTACTATTTCTTGGTAAGGAATCAAGAGGATTTTAAATATGAGCAGAGGGTAATTAAGCCCTTTAAAGTCATATCAAAGAGTAAAATAATACTTCTTGTTCAATAAATGATAGACTAAATTAGCTGGAATGTGCTCTTCCATTTTTCCATCGTCAGTACTCTGGCCTGTATTCACTAGAAAGGAGAGGGTGAATACTGCTGTTTTCTTAGCAGAGCCCTTCAAAATATAGCTCACAAATCTTGTTTTCTCTTGTTCTCATGCAAGACTGTTCCTTGCTCACAGTCTGTCGAACATGAGAAATAACCAGCTGATAGAGATTTCATATGTTTGGTAACTATATATTTGATTTTTGACATAATTTGTAAGACAGTTCTTCAGAAGTAAATGTTCCTTCAATGCATGCATCTTTTTTCACATGAAATGCCACTGATTTCCTGGCTTGAGGACAGGGTGGTCACAGACCATGCCTGAAAGCATACAGTCTTATAAAAGTCTTCACATTTACCATACCTCTGTAGTTTTGTCACGAAAATTTTTCTGTCTACCTAAAGTTCACTGCTCTACAGTTTATCATTTGTTTGTGCAAACAGAGTATCCCTGTTTTGTCAGTCCCTACTCACCCTACAGTTAATAGCCTGAAGAAACAAATACAAATATACTTGTGATGATAACTCTGCATATTGGCCTTGCTATATTAATTTAGTATCAAGCTTATACTCACTTCAAAACCTTCAGAACAAATGTTAAATTAATTTAGCCTGCATCCCATATGGATGCATAGTCAGTGTAGCTTTAAGGCCTTTTTTACCATTTTATCAAAAATGGTTTGAGTAGACTCTCCTTCAGGTAGCCCTGTAAAAGTGGTATTTGTAGCACCCTTATCCTTCAGTCAAGAGGTACTTGTCAGCTGCATTGTCTTGGGATGCTACAGGGTTAGAGAAAGGATCTATTCACTAACGTACTGCATGGCTTTAGCACTTTGAGGAAGAATGTAAAATATTATATAAAACTTAAATTAATAATTTTGTCCAAATTTCAGAAGTCACTACTTATGGGGTTTTTTTTGTTTATTCACTACCATTTTAATCCTACTGCATACTGTCTTTCTTTACCTAAGCACAGAAAGCCTTTCTTTGTCTTTCTGAATGAACACTGAAGAAAAAGATGTTGTTTATAAAGAAATTTGAAGTTAGACAACTTAGCAACCTTAAAGAAAACAATTTGAGGGACTGTCTTATGAGGAAAAAGCATATGTTACTCAATGAGCTTCCTTTTCTTACTATCCAGCTGACAAGCAGCCCTTTGATTACTTTAGCACTATGATACAACTTCAGATACAACAGAATGACATTATTGTCAAACCATATAGAAAATGTTGAGTCAATGAATGCCACCTGTACAGTATTTTCATTACCTGTTTATAAAGCAACTGTTCATTTTCTCTGGCGTAGCAGAACAGAACATCTGTAAGAATTTTCCTCACATTCTCTTGCTGGAAATACTGCATTTCAGGAAAGCTGAAAATGAAGAAATACAGCGAAAGTAAACAATATAGCTCACAGAATCTCAGTCGCTGGTCTTCTATAAATGGTTTTAGGTAGGAGAGCACCTCCCTTGTCTGCTTTCCCACTTCTCTGTGAACTGTGGGTGCTGCTAGAGATAGAACACTTCTAAAGACTTCTTGTATTTTTTTTGCAACCAGAATTCTGAACCATTTTCTTTAATATACATCAGTCTGTTATACAGATATGATGGTATCACCAGTTTTATTTAAATAAGTAATCCCTTTTAATATTATGAAAACCAGAGATCTGCAAGAATGAAATACAATGGCATATTGTTTTAATCGTGAACTTACAAACACAGCCAGTCCACTGAAAATAAATTACTTGAATAATCTAATAAAAATAAAATGATGTACCATACGAGTACATTGTCTGCCTAAAGAATCAGGTTCCTCCATGTCATGAAAACAAGTTGAGCTGAAGCAGAATGAAAGGAGAAGCAATGACTGAAGCAACGATCTACCCTCTCCTACCTTCACGCAGACTCTTACTGCCAAACCTAAGCAGCCCAGAAGACTGTTCTGGTCCCAGGTAGCACAGCATCCCAATAGCAACTTAACTCCAAGACTGTTCTCCACCAATTGCCTGTCCTTCACCAGTGAATCTGAAACTTGCTTGGAAGACTTAGAAAAGGAGTGTGATCAAAAACACCAAACAAACACCACTTCCTCCTACAAAAACCAAGCCAGTTAAACTAAGCCTGTTTCAAACAATTGACTGTTGATTAACTTGATTCAGATATTGGAAAAATAAGCACTGAAGATCAAATCTCCACAGATAAGAAACATACTTATATCACATGCTCCCCTTTTTTTAAGTCTGTGTTAGGCTGGCAACTGTACCCGCATCATCAGTCTGCCCTGCAGACTCATGAATAGTGCTTAGCTCTGCTTTTCATTTTTCGCAAGATAAAAGTTGGGCAAAGGAAGAGTACAAGAGCTACAATATGTTAAAGAAGTTTGTAAAATTTCCAGTTCTAAACTGGAATAAAATGGAAGAAATAAAAGTGTGTCAGAAGAAGTAAAAACACAAGGGTTCAATATTTCATGAGTGTTTGAAAAATGATGAGCATTTTAATGAAAAAAGACTATTCAAATATCTCAAAACTGACCAGAAAACCAATCTCCTAATTTTCTTGAGCTCTAAGAAAGCTCCAGTATATCTTACTAAAATCTTTTTTGATGTAATATAAGGATAGGAAAAGGTGAAGTTGGACAAGAAAAACAGAGGAATACTTGACAAGAACGGTAGGCCTCAGGCTAGATTGCTGTAATAAAGGCTACAGTATTGTCAGTTTTAAAATGAAATCACATGGATTGCAGGTAAGTTTTTTTCAAGTAAATTTTGTTTTTTTTCTGCTTCCCAAATCTGAGCTACAATACTAAACTTTAGACTAGTTCTATTAAGGCTGTTGTAAAGCCTGTCATGGAGAAACAGTATAGGGAATCATAATAAATTACTTCAGATAAAAGTATTCATGTTAATAAATACTGTGGTCATCTCACAGAGGTGATGACAGGTAAGCACAGAAACATAATTAATTAAGACTAGAAAGGTGCTTTAAAATCCTTGGATGAAGGACCTGAATCAAGAGTCAAGGCCGAGAATACACTGTGGTTAAGCGCAGCAATGCTGAAGTCCTGAGAAAGGCCTAGGGATGGGGGGGATGTAACATTTTCCTGGCACCTGATGGGGTGATGATAGACCAACATTTGGAAACTTGTATGAACTTGTACTAATCACATTACTGTAAAGGAAGGACACAGCTGAGACCAAAAGTGCATTACAGCAGATGGCAATCGACATAATTTAGGGGTTTGAAGAGATTATTTCTGAAGGACTGTTATTCAGGCCTGCCCTTTGAAATTTAGGAAGAGAAGACTAACAAAGAAAACTCAAAAATACACAGAGATATCTGTGAGGATCTAGTAATACCAGAGATTGTGACAGAAAGGATAATCATGAACTCAGGAATAAGCTGGCTGAAGTATTAATTACAGTAAATGTAAATACAAGAGATCATGAGGGAACTATCAGTTCAGGATGGATTTTCATGGAGAATGTCATTTTATGATTAAAACACTGTTTTAGAAATAAAGTATCCTCAAATCAGGCAAGGTAAGAATACTTTTCATAAACACTAGAATATTACATTTAATTACATTTCTCAGAAAGACTACATAAGGACATGGGAATTTTGCTAGACTGTTTTACCACAGCTGCCTCAATTAAACAACAGTGCATCAAGTCCCTGCTTTCTGAATGTGCAGACCTGCACAAATTAGTTATTGTATTTTAAAACATACCTTTAGCCCACTTAGGGGCCCCTACACCAGTGGCAGCCAAACTTTGACACAGAAGAAACCTAGGCTGGCAACCAAATAGAAGGGTGCACAAATACTTTATGAAACAAATCTGGTGGCAGACAGAAATGAGCCTCTTAACCACAGCCATGGAGTGACCATCTTTTCTTTTATGAACAGATTCTATCCCCTGCCATTCCCCAACACTAGACCCAGAGAGAATGAAGAAAGCTACTAAAGCAGAAAAAACGGAATATAGTCTTGCAACTGCAAAAGATAGGTGAAGAATAATAATAACGATCCCTCTGTTGCTCACTTTTTTTCTTGAAATATACCATATTGGTGTATGAAGGTAGCTCTCCCTTCCAGCAGTCCCTCGTCTTACATGGAAACTATGTTTTGTCTCCTGTGTTCATACTCAATGGACTGCTGTTTCTTCCCATCTCTACTATCTGCTTAGGAGGGATGTTCTGCATAATGGCTTCTCCACTACCTTTTTTATGGGTTTTTTTTTGGTATCTGAGAGATGAAGAGTTTGAAACAGCAGCACCCACCACTACTCATCTTCATACTGCTTCCACTGTCCTAAACTGTGGCTGTTATTCTTGAAGCAGAAACTATATATAAAAATACTATGACAAAGAAAAAGTAATCCACTTGATTAGTCTACTGGGAATGGCCTCTAAGCATTTTATTTTCTTAAAATACTGGGGAGAGAAAGAAGGTAATAAAATCTGGCCATTTACAATCCTAGTTGTACAAGGTGATGCCAGCAAATAAGACTGGTATTTTGATTTGACTGGTATCTAGATGCTCTTGCATCTGCCAATCTGTTGATTTCCATGTCTGCAGAATATTTTCACAAAATCTTCTTTATCACTTAATCATCACCAAATAAATCCACATTGTTCCTTGGTACCTCTTTTGAATGAGAGTAACTAATCACTCCATTCTTAAGTCTGTTGTGAGTTACTGTGGTGCTAGTTCACACACACCTTCCTTTCTCCATAGAATAATAAAATGCAGTATTATAGTTATAACTCAGTTGGTACTGCTATCTACATTTAAAGTAAAGCTTTTACTTGCATTACAGTAAACCTCCCTTACCCTCCTTCCTTATCCTCATTTTTAGAAGCTTCTCACTTGAGACAGAGAGAGATAGTGTTTGGTTCCAGCTCAGAAGTACACGTTTCTAGAGTGCTGAAGTGAAATCCATTCTGAACCTCTCAACTAGCATAAATAATAAGTCAGGTGATTAATCAGAAATGTTGATCACTAATGAGTTAGGACCAACTTAACAAAATCCTTCCCTACTTCCCTTGTAAATATTGGAAGTTTTTATTATGCAACAGGCAAAAATTATATTTAGACATTATGGGTTAGATTACTCTCACCTGACATTAAGCAACTACAGTTTAGTTAAGTACAGGGAAGCCAAAAGCCTTTTATAATTACAGAAGAAAAACATTACTTCTCAACAGTGTGATTCATCAGACACATACAAGACATTTACTTTAGGATGAGATGGTTTGTGTCCTAGAATTCTTCAGGTACACAGACTCTAAAGGATGATTAGCCCAGATGTGAGCATCTGTGTTTTACAAATCTAATTAATAGGTGAGATAAGGATTCACAAAGTCCACATGAACACACACACACACAGAGACACAGAGACACACAGACACACACACACTTTATCATGGTTCCCTTTGGGTAACAGAATTCTAAAATTTAAAACAATTTAAACCAGAAACTAATTCTAAAAGCATTATTCTACCCACTTTCCCCATACATTATTACTAAACTTCAGAGAATTCTAATAAAAACATTACAGGGTAATTTTTTTACTGCTTTGATAGATTGAATTCTGTGTGCAGTTAGCATCAACCTCTACAATATTATTTACTTGGTGATGTTGGAAGATGGAGTACTAAACACAGAATACTAAAATATTTGTTAAATAAGGAACAGAAGCTAGAAGGTAATGAGTATGGTGACTAAATAAAATACTCCATTATTTTAACCTTTAATAAAAAACATTTTAAATTACTGACAAATCTTAAAATTGCAACTCCAGGAATTTATTTAAAGAATGGAAATGAAAATTACAACTTTAAAAAGAGGGTACTTCCAAAGCAAAGGAACATAAAACTTATTGCTTCTTACACTAATGATAGTTTACAAGCAGATGAATATGTATACATAAACTGCACACTATGTTTTATGATTAGGCAAGCAACAGGTGTATATGCAAATGCATATAGCTTATAAAATAAATTCATGTTACTGATAATTTTGCTTCCTCATTGTTTGACTTATTTTGATATTGACGACATAATGTATGCTGCTATTGTTTCAAGCAGACATTATTTTGTAAAAATACATAAATGGAAATTTCTTTAGTCACTATTACTGATATTAGTGAGTATTACTCATTCTACCATTTGCCAGAGTGCCTGGACTTTGTGTGTATATATATATAAATTTTTAAAATAACGGTCTTGCAGCCAACATAACTTCCATACAATTTTCATTCTCCAATTATAGTTTAGATATGTATATATTTTAATCTTAGAACATCCTGAACCATTTCCTTTAACAAACAAAAATACCATCTGTGAGAATGCACATGAAAGCATACTCAGATTTTAATTATACATCTCATGGCAAAATGCATTCAAGAATGGGTCTGGGGACGGACTTATAAAATATTCCAAAACCAGAGAGCAATGATTTCTTCTGCATGACTTTGTTTCTGTAAATTAAAATGTGTGAGCTTGGGATTTGTAAAATCTATAGCTATCATAACTTTTTTCAAGTTATAAGGAAAAATATTTGCAATACAGTAAAATTTCACATGGTAGCAAACCACTAATTGAATTTAATTAGATTTACACATCACTCAATTCTTCCACTCTGAAAATAAATGTTTTCAGGAACTGAATGTTCTAACTCAAATAAGTTCCTACAGGAATGACCTAAGGGCCAAGAAGATGAAAACATAATCACAGTAATATTAGGACAAATTTTAAAAGGCATGTGTGACAAATAACACTAGAAAAGTGATAAATAAAAATAGAAATGCTTAACTTCTCTAGATGAGTGACATATCCCTTACTAATTACAAATCGCCTTTTTATTATTGATTGAATAAATGTTAAGAATTAAAGAAAGTCATCTGTTCAATCTGTTATGATGATCATAATTTAGTTAGAAGACCTTTCAGTTTCTCTTACCTTCTACTTGCTTCATATGGAAAAAACTCTACTTTGAATTTCATGCAGTAATACATTTCCTAATATCTTAATTTAGAAGGGCTTTTCTTCAATGATACCAATAAATCTCCAGGGTTTAATGTTTAACTCTATTTTCTCATTTTTCACTTCAAGAAAGCTGTATTTTTATACATTTAATGTATGTTTCTACACATTCATGCTCAATAATCCTGACATTTACACTAACCAAATTAAAGAAAACACAATATAATGTATAGCACGTAGAACACAGAATTTTAACATTATATATAGAGATTTCTTTAAAGATCTACATACGTTCTTGTCACATCTTGTTCAATCATTGCTCGAAGCTCTTTATCCTGGAAAAATTTATTCCAAAGACTCTGAAAGAAGAAAAAAATAATTGTATGAAACAGAGACTTCTACTATTACTTAAGGCTTATATACCACATCAACAAAGTACTGTACAAATATTAACTAATTAATCCTCAGCATTCCTGGTCGATACATATATCAGTATTTTATGGCTGAAAAAGAAAGTTAGTGACCAGCCCAACATATCAGAGAAAGTCAGTTTAGATCAGAGATGAAAACATTGAAGTTCCTGGATCCTAGGTTCACTCCATTAGTTTACCGGACGGCTGCAGGTCTGTGAGTTACTTGTAATGGGTCTATATATAATATTTAGAAAGGTAGAGTAAATTCAAGCCTACTAGAACCAGCAGTTGAAAAACTCAGTAGTTCACTCATCGAAAAAGGTCTATCTCACTGTACTCGACTACATTTCTCTTGTCAATGTATGGACTGTAATTGGAAGCTGCTAAGATACAGGAAAAGTGTTGTAAAGCCTATTCTTTATTGTAAAGAAATAGGAGCTTGGCCATATTGATCAAAATACAGAAGGAACAAAATCTATAGCAGTCTTTTAATGCAGGTTAGTTTTCAGATAGCAGCAGCAGCCCCAGCGAATGAAATACTGCACAGAGAGTGGCTATGGTACTTCCATGATTTCTTGCTGCCCTGTAAACAATTCATTGCTATGGTGGCTTATGCTCCACAGAAAGAAAAGAGAAAGTAAATTAATGTTATCTAGCAGAATGAAGGTAAAGTAACAAAAGAAAAACGTTAATTAGTTTCTATATTTGTGTTACAGATTATGAGCAAAACCCCCAAACTTTAGAAGTATTTATATCCTTGACAATGTCCTATGTAAAACTAGTATCTTTTTAAATTGCAGCTCTTTGCATGCAGTTGATCACATTCTGAAACTCCCCTGCACCTGCTCCCACTCCACATATCAGAGCAAAGGATGAAGGAAACAGAATCTGCATTGCAGAAAAGGAAGCAAAACCCAGGACACTGAAAAGGTGAAACACGAAGTCAGTGCAAAAGCTCAAAGGCACTTTGCACTTCATTCCTATGCCTGATTTGGCCCACGGCTTTGTTTTATGGATTAAACCCCTGGCACATACTCTGACATGTTAACCTTTGTCTTCTGTCTCCTAAAGACACCACAGGCAAAAAGAAGGTTGTGCCACAGTGTATAATCACAAACTACAGCAGAAACACTTTAAATCTTGTATATTTGACACAACTTTCTGTCCAAACAGATGCAAGAATGGTTTGATGGCACGCACAGTCATACTGGCTGCAGAAACACCAACGCGTCTATGAAAGATACTGCCATGTTTCAACAAGCAAATCTCTCTCTCCTTCTACATTAAATATGAATCAGAGTACCACACTGAACACAAACAAAATATGGACCTCTGTTTGTGATCAAAACAGAAGTACAAGTAGTTCCACCAAAGATACCTGTGACAATCTTTCTAGGTGTAAATCTCTTAAATGCAGCCAAACAAATTATTTTCATGGTATTACTTTGAAAATTTGATAAAGACTAATTGTAAAAGCCGATGATTAACAGAAAAACTTGGAGACATGTGCTATAAAATACTTAAGAGCTTTTCAGGTATAAGAATATGCAGTAGAAACATCGTGTAAGAAAAAGAAAAAGTCGCCTAAAATTAAGCTCCCAAATCTACATTTAAGCCCTCCTCAAAGTGTCGTGACTGAAAACTCAAAGCAACTAGGAGGTCCTATTAATTTCAATGAGAGCTGGGTGCTCTGCACTTATAGCAGCCAGGCCAAATACTTTTACTACATTTCAGTATTTCTTTAAAATCTGGATCTTTCATTATGCAGCTGGCTGCTTTCTGATTAGAAAAGAAACTTTTGTTTCTTTTAACTATAAAGAAAAAGAATTAAAAACCTTGGAAGAAATGCCTATCTTGCAGCCTGGTGCTTTACACATTAACTCAGCATGTATATATCTCAGACACAATTCTATTTTTGCTGGAGAAAAACATCCAAGGCTGAACAGTCTTCCAGAGGAGGGTTCTTCAGTATTTGCTGTTAACGGCACTCTGTTATACAGACTGTTTAAACACTCCTTCAACCAGTGCCATTTTACATATATAATGAAAACACACAGCATTAAAAAAGCATGTGCTGTGAAACTGGACTTACAGTCCAGCACTGATTTTTTGTTCACTACAGTCTTCCCTGCGATAAGCCCGTAAAAATCAGAATATTAACCTGGAAATGAGCACTTCTGTTTGTTCAGTAGAGCTTGTGAACCCATTTGCTAACACTAGTCAGGACGGAAATTTAGGGAAGGAGACTTTTGCACCTGCCATTTAGCCTTCTTCAGCAAGAACTCACTTGTGCCAGTATGATGATGATAAGAATTTTAGTAGCACTTGCACTGATTGAACCACTGGTCGACTTACCCCCTCGTCCTGAGACAGTGGGTTGTTGATTATCAGATCTTGCTGTCCTGCCTTACGAGGGTTTGTAATGTGCTGGGTAAAAACAGAAAAAAATCAAATTCTATTCTGTTATACTATAAGTATTAATACCTATGTCAAAGCATGAGAGAACCTATTTTGTACAAACTTACAATTTCTTTTATCTTATTGTAAGAAGTTCTCAAGTCTGAAGTGGTTTTAATCCATTGACTTCTGTCTTGGGGTAGAACCTCCAGAAATAACTATCAACAAAACAAAACAAATCCATTAAGGTTAATCAATTTCCTTTTCTTATAAATTCTATCAGACAGCATAAACAATCTTAGAAAGAAGAATCAAGTACTCTACACATAAGAAGAAAGCAAAGACCTATAATATGCTCCTGGCTTTAGTACTTTCCAGTCAATAAATAAGAAGCTAGAAACAACAGCAGTCATATGGTACAAAATAAAGCGTTAAAAACAATTGAAGTCACAAACTCAGGCTTTGTAAACTGTCACAACTTCAATAAAGTTGATTGAGACTTCCAAGGCAGAAACAAAATGCAAAGAGATGAAAATAAATCTACAAAACTTGAAGCTATTTACATACCACTGATGAGCTAATGCAACATGCTTAAAACCAAACATGAATGCAGAGCAAAAACTAACTACTCAGAGACCAACTCTACCTAAGAAATGTGGAAAGGGAAGATCTTAATCTATAGAAAGAAACATGTTCTAGAATTCTGCAAGACAGTTAAGAGTCAATTTTGAAAAAAGTCCTTGAGAATGCCTACTAGTCAGTTCTTTCACTTTCCTGTTAGAAAGAAACACCTATTGGAAAATACTATTTAATTGCATATAGAATAAGGAAAAAAACAGTGTTTTCTTGCTTTTTAAATGTTTTTATTTACACATTAAGTGTTAAGAAACAATAAATACTGACAAAAAACATTCCCAAATTACTAAAAATACTTAAGTATTTCAGAACTTAACAGAAACATAGACAATGTTTTAAAAACTGTCAGTTTAAAATGGGGCTCTAACCCATACCAGGACATGTTTATAAAACCAGCCTTATTTCTAAAATAAAACCACTCCTTCACTTAATTAGTGGACAGTGAGGGACTTGATACTTTTTTTAGGTCACGATTTTGAGTTAGGGCCTCCTAATTTAGAGGTTCAGGAAGAAGCAGACTGGTAAAACAATGCTTGTGCCATGCATTCATCTGGCCTCCTGAAAAAAGTATTTTCAGTAACTTTAAATTTGTTCAATGCTATATACATTTCAAATTTCAGTTTTTAAATTTCTTTCATTCACATATGAAGAGTATCTTCATTTTCTTTCTATAGGTCTTTGTGCCAAAGTGAAGCTTGAGAAACTCCAAGCGAGGTAATTTAAATTATTAGTGCTAACATACAGCAACTCTACTAGGGAAAATGTTCTCTACTGTCATAGTGCAGAAGATCCAATACCAATGCAACAGAATTCTTTTGGACTTTATATAGCATCTCAGTATTACTTTGCTTTCATTCTCTCTTCCTTCCTCTGCCACTTTAAAAAATACAGTAAGAGACTTCTAAAGACCTATTGTGGTGTAAGACTGGAAGACCTGGCTTCCCCCTCTATCCAGCCATTGCAAGAGGGATTGGTTTTCATTTTGTCATTTCACTGGGAAAAGCTGCTAGCAGGAGCATCAGATTGATTTCAAAGGAGCCCTAAATTCCACAAAACATAAGTTGTGAGATAAACTTCATTTCCAACACATGACTTCACTGCACAGAGACTAAGGAGAGATGGCTGCGTGGCACTCAATTCCAAACACACCACCCAGCACAAAGACATTATTTCCTAGGAATTTTTTGCTATCACCCGCAATTCAGCTGTAAGGCAACTCAATATGATTAGCAAATGTCCTATGAATTATAAAAATGAGTAGGAAAACATTGGGATGAAGTCTCTCGGAAAATTCATGATTCTTTGCATCAATAATCTTCCAGCACATCAGGTAATGTGTTGATATATTGCAACCACAAACTGTAAATAAATATTTTCTCTTCTTACCTTCCAGCAAACACTACGGAACCTGCTGCTTCTCAGCTGCCCATTAATCCCCTTCAGCCGTATAGTTGCCAAGTAATTGTTGTTTACAAATAGTTCTTCCCATTCTTTACTGCATGCAAAAGCAAAAGGAATGAACATTTAAACAAACAAAAATGAAAGCCTTAGCTGATTTAAGGACTATATGACACCACACAATTTTGGATAAGCAGAGGAAAGGAACTTTTTTTTAATGTATATATTTAGTTGTGTACCATTTCTAAACGCATGGCTGTCTTTTTGGACACATTTCTTCTTTGGATTTAATGAATATGTAGATCGCTATAATTATGCCAGCTACTGAAATTCATAATGTCTATGGAGGCTATTCCATTTCCTCTAAAATGTTGGTACTGCAGTTCAGTGAATAAACAAGAAAAATGAATATTAATATAAGCACATTCATTTTTCAGCTGTAGACAAAGAAGTACCTATTCCAAAAATATGCAACGGAAAAGTATACTGTTGACTGTATTAGCTCCTCACATGACATATTTGCTTAAATGAACCTTCTTTTCTTCTTCTTAATGTCAAGCTGGGCAGTTAAGCATAATAGAAGATGACTTTCTTTAACATTTAGTGCTATTTACTGTTGAAGTCACTCCTACTTCTTTCTACATGATCAGTTTTAAAATTTTAACAGGTGCTAGCAAATTTTAAAAAAACATCAAAAAATTAAAAAGCCTCACTGTATAAACTGTTAAAGGCAAGCATGAGTACCTTGCAGTACCTATGGCTGACTAGATAAACAACCTAAATATGCCTCCCAGGCATGCAGGCACCAGGGGCCTAACACCTGTGCCTCATTAATATACAAGTAAATCTGCTCTACTGGGAAACAATTGGAAATTAATTGTCCCAAACCATCTACTGAGTTTGAATAAAAGAATTAAATCTATATTTCCTGCACCTTCTACTGAAACAAATCTCAAGAACAGTGTAAGCCATTTGATGGTCTTAGTAGCCCAAGACTTGCTCACAGACTTTCTGCAACCACCCGAAAATCCAAAGGGTAATTTCGACATAAAGAGCTGGGTTATGTGCAAGGAAATGTGTTCCAGATTTATTTCCAATGCATGTCCTTAAGGTGAACATCTCCTTCTCTCACTGTCACATGGGAGACTATTACTTCTCCCTGGGAGACCAAATGAAACCAGAAAGAGGGAAACTACTGTTGTGACTCCAGGGTAAGATCTCACCAGATTTCCTTCGCTAAGGAGGGTCACAGAGTGGGTTATACTAAACATCAACAAACTCTGGTTTTGCAACCTGCCCTAAATATATGCAAGCTAGAGTTAAGGTAGTTTTCAATCTTTTAAGCTGAGTTGTGAGGGTACTTTTTTTAAACCTTGTTTTAGATAAAACGTGTTCAGTTTCAGAACAGAATTTCATGACACAGTTGCTGGCTATAGTTGGGGAATAAACTTGGCAAGCCAGGAAATTCTGGTCCTATTTCTCTGAGACAGGACTGAACTTACAATCCATGCTGAGACCAAAAGTGTTGTTTTTGTGCAACACCAAAAAAACATCACCTTTCAGCTAGGACTGTTTTCTAAAAATTGACTGTTCATTTCTGGGCCTTGATTATTAATTACTTTGAAAAGTGAAGGTGCTCCAGGTAAGAACAAAGACAACTAAAGCCATGTTAGCATGCAGGGGTTGGGGCTGCTTTCAGCTTCTGACAACTATCAATATTCCCAAGTGTAGCAGCAGCAACTCACTCCAATGGTGTGGGGCAGCTTCCTTTCTTCCTGCCTGCCACATCTCCCAGTTCCCAAGTCAGGAGAATTGATGATTATCTGGTCATTTCACTGTCTCCCTGTCTCCCATCCGTCATCACCTTCTGCAGGGAGCTGCCTACAATTGTTTAACACGGTTCTGTCTCCTTTAAATACAACGTATGGTATACAGCAGACACAGCTTGAGAAAAATCTGGCCCCTTCTTTCACAGTCATTTCTACTTCAGTAACTACAGTATATTATGCCTATTTAAATAACCCTCCTGTTTCTATCACATATAATATTCTTCGTTTGCCATTGTAAATTTTGTAGCATCATTGGCCGTTATAACTACTGCCAAGCTGCTCCCTATGGTAGCGATGCTTCAAGAGTGACACATTCCCCTGCGCACAGAACAGGTCAGGCTCTGAAGCTATTCACATTGTTCTGCAAGAGGATGACATTCCCACATTTTCCTTTGAAAATGCTGGCGTGTCAGCCGAGCTAGCAAAAGGTTTCAACGAGTGCAACTGTGAACAGAAAGAACAGAGAGGAAAGAAGCTCTTCAGGTTATATTTTTCACCAACTGCTGGGAATGATTGCTACACAGTAAGAAAGTAATTTCAACACTTCTTAAATGATATTAGTGCAGATACTATGCTCTTTTTTTTTTTTTCAAATTTGTAATGCAATTCCAAACATGTTTTGAACAAAATTACATTTAAAACAACCAAAAGAAATTTGGCAAGATCATATCTCCTCTGTATCCCCCCTTGGCTGCTGGGATCACCAAAAAGAAAAGTTACAAGCAAGTGGAAAAAAGAAGACTTGGAAGCTGGAATCTGCTTCAGTTTTAGTAGAGCTGAATGATATCCAAAATACCTTCTGAACAGTATTCACTAATTCATTGCTCAAATATTTTGAATGAAGGCTAATAAATTAAGCCTTACAATTCTAGAGACTATTTCAATAATGGTAACGCTGTGCAATATCAACAAGCTATCAATTCTAAGAAGATAATTTTTAAAATGATACAGCCCTACTCTGTAAACTAGTATCTCTGAGCCTTGTTAACCCAGGCTTGCAGAAAACTCATCGGTCAAAGTGAAATGAGCAATGAAGATTGGAACTCAAGACTACCACATCCCATTTGCTTCACTGAAGTGAAAGACTTCAAGAGCCAGTTGGAACCACTTAAACTATGAATAAGCACATGCAATTGTTTTTAATAAAACTAGAAAATTAAATGCATAATCATGTGTTAATACCACCTTTAGGTCGTACAATTAAAACAAAGGCAAATGCCAATGTCAATGTTTTCTGTTTATTTTGTAGATATTTTTCATTTCATATTCTTATTTAAATATCCTGTCTAATACGCTCTCGTAAATATTGTAAAGTCTTCATAATATATGACCTGCATGGGGAATAAGTAACTGGATGAAAGTTTCTTTCAGAAAGTTAATTTCTCATGCTGTATGTGTGCAGTAACCATCCAAAGTAAAATATTTATTGGCATGAGTTAGGGACAGTTGCATTACTTAGAAGTGGGAAAAGTGCTCAATATACTTCATATGAATGAAAAAGCAAGAAAATCAATGGAAGGGATGAAAGCTGCAGATTCATTCAACAAGGTTTGTCCTTAGTTCTCATCTGTTCCTTTCCATCTTTTGAAACATGCATTTAGATCATAAATACAAGAGTTTGAATCTGCCTGCAAAATAATTTTATACTGGGATCTGCTCTAATACACACACTTTCTTGCTTATAAGATTAGGGTTGATCTAGAAAACCATATATAAGCATATTTATTCTTCTCTTTTTTTCCAACAGGACATGTTTTGTGGATCTGATGCTTTAAGACAATTATGAACATTAGATACTTAAATCCCTGAGGTCTAGCATCTTAGTAAAAGATGCTCGAATGCCATAACTGCACAGCTAGAGAAGCAAGCAGCTTATATTACACCAGTAATGTAAAAAGATTCCTGGAAAATAATTCTGGAATTCAAATAGTAGTTCCCAGAGTGTTCCTGAGACAATGATAAGCTGTGGTTGTTCTGGGGAGAGGTAACAGAGACTTTCTTCCACTGATAGCCAGTAGTGGAACAAGAACAAGCCCCTAGCTCTGCTGCTAAATGTCCATCTGCAGCATAATGGCAAAGCCAATACATTGAGCATAGGTATGCAGAAGAATGCAACTGTAGCCCACCGAAGCTCATAACAACATAGATCTTCCATTCAGAAGAAGAGGAAATCCAATCAAGAGTGGTACAGCACAGACAGCTAGTTAACATCTGTATTTACCTTTTTACAGGATAAAGCTTCTGATGTATACAAATGCCGATCCTTCCAAAGTTTAAAGCCAGTGGAAGAAGCATTTTTGTACTATGATGTTCAGACAACATCAAACTCTGTGGAACACACTAAACCCCATAGAAATGTAAACATGTGAAAAGCCACATCAGACTACAATATATGTCACTGAAAAAGGGGAAAGATTCAGTTCGGGAGTGCAAGCGGGTAAGAATTACAAGTAAATATTACTGCCCGTAATTACTTCGCTTTCAGTTGAAACTGCAGGTAATAAAGAAACCAGTATCTACCAGGTCATTACATAGTGGGTATAGTTAGTCTCATGCATTTTTAAAGTAATAAAGTACTTTGTTTTAAAGTAACTTTTGCTAAATTTGAAAGCCCTTTTTTGTGTCCATGATGAAACAAGACCAATTTAATATTTACAAAAACACTTAGATAACAGAGAGTATTTCTCAGTTCATGGCACTGCAATACTATTACAATACTAATATTGCAATACTATTGAAAGGTGTGAACATTTGCATACATACTTAAGATTTCAATCTAAATCTCAAGCTTATTCACAGAATCACAGAACGTTAGGGAT